GACAGATGAATGCTTCAACTGAATTGAAAGTTGTTTTCATGCACACCAAGTGCTCGCTAAAATGCTTCAACTGAATGGTATTTCTTCGTTAATAGCATTCTATCAGAAAAGAATGTTTTTTCTGATAATCATGAACATATTCTGTTAGAATTCCCCGAATTAATATAATTATTGGTAAATGAATTCCAATTCTATCAGAATAGAATCACAAATTCTAATTATGTTGGAATAGAGTATGAATATTTTCTCACTATTTTATTCATTGTATTTGTTTCTACAAAAGCTGATGCTTGAAGAACGGACCACAAAATTTGAACGACGCCTCTTAGCAACATTATTCTTGTAGAATGTATTAGTGTTTTTATTAGATTTTGATGTTCTTTTTTCCAGATTTGAAAGTTTTTTTAGTTTTATTCTTTAAAAATAAATGTAATTCTTAGCAATTGTTACATGTATTCTATAAAAATTAATGTAATTTTTGTTTTAATTCTTCAATTGATGGTTCGAGAATCTTGTTATTCTACAAAAAAATTTGTTATTTTTGAACATACTCAAACATATTCTGTCAAAATATCCGAACTAAAAACCTTATAATTTGTAAAATCGGATTTTTAAAATTAATAGAATCTTTGATCCCTTAAAATATGCAAATTTCATTTATTAAATCTATGTTAACTGACTAAAATACCTTTCTAGTTAAATTAGATGGTATTTTTTTAATTATATTTAATTAAATAATATGTATTAATCACTTTCTTAAAATAAGTAAAATGATTGGTCAACATTTATGTATACAATAACACAATAATTACTTTGAATAGAATAACCTAGGCCTATATATATATATATATATATATATATATATATATATATATATATATATATATATATATATATATATATATACTCCCTCCTTCCCATATTAATAGTCCATGTTTTCCTTTTTGGTTTGTCCCAAAATAATTGTCTACTTCTAAAAATAAACTTGTATTTTACCATAATACCCCTCATTGTTAGTTAAATTACCATAAAATTAAATGCAACTACCATAGAATTAAATGCAACAGAAGGGTAAGACTGTCATTTTATTTAATAAAATTAATGATAATTAATGTTTTCTTAAATTGTGTGTTTTTTGTCTGTGGACTATTATTTTGGGACGGAGGGAGTATATATATATATATATATATATATATATATATATATATATATATATATTAGGTGTGAGATCCATGTATTACATGAGTTTAATTAAAAAAAATTAAATATGAAATTTTAACAATTTGAAAAAGTTTGAATTTATAAGAAAAATGAGAAAAAATTTAAATTATTAAAATTTGTAATGCTTTAATGTATTGAATACGTTACATATATAAACCATTTCTAAAAAATATTTTACATATATATTACCTTACATATTAAATATAAAATTTTAATTTAATAAAATGAAAAATACAATAAAATGACAAGTGGAAAATGGAAAATTTAAAAATTCTAGAAAATGTCATGTGTCCAAATGAAGGAGAAGAGGACATGTGACAAAAAAAACCTTCATTTATTAGAGTATATATATATATATATATATATATATATATATATATATTGGAAAAGTATTTCGAAATCCAAAAATAGTTCAAAACTCGGTCTATTTCGAAACACTCAACACCATTTTTTGAATCCGAAATCCAAGAGTTTAGCTTGCAACTTTTTAGTTTCGAATTGTTAGAAAGTTGTTTCTCAAACTCATAATTTATTTCGCAATTGACCTAAGTTTTGAGATTTATGTCATTTTTGCTATTTCTCGGAAAAAAAATTATTAATTAAGATCAAGAAAAAGTTTATTTATTATTATTATTTTTTAATATTCCTATAAATTATATGATGTAATTTGGGATGATTTTAAACGGTTAAGAGAAAATTTCTCCCCCCTACGATCTAAGAAGTTGGACGGATGCTTGATTTGGGTCCAATGTACGAGTTGAGTTCATCTTCGGACACGTATGGTCCGGTCGAATTGTGGGGTTCTCAAGTTTGTCCCCAAAAGTATGGAACTACCTTCTGCCAACCCTGTACTTCTTCCGTATCCGCATAATACAAATTCCACCTTCCATCTCTAACATTTTTTAACTTCATTTATATATTTTAATATGTAACAATATAAAAGTTATATGTATTAGATCGATAACTTATGAATCATATCAACACCAGTGACATATTTTACTTTTTTTTAGAAACTTCCAAATATTGGATCATTCCTATAACAATATATTGAATTATGAACCAAATATCAACTTTTTTTAGAAACTTCCAAATATTGGATCATTCCTATAACAATATATTGAATTATGAACCAAATATCAAAAGTTGTATTTTATTTTAGTGAGTGATCAAAATATATATCATTATATATTGAGAGGAATTTCATTTATATTATTTTAAACTTTTATAATTACGTCTAAATTCTCGTAAAACTTCAAAATATATGTTTCTTCTTATAAAATCTACAAACTCACATATATATACTTAAATACTTAATTTAATCATATTTAGTATATAAAAATAATAAAAACACTATCTTTAAATTGATTTCTTATTATTAAGAAAATAATTAATTTGTAATATTACAATATCATCCTTTTCTCACATTAATATTCTCGATCTATTTGTTTCATATATAAATTCTTACAAAATATGGTCACCCATGAAGAACAAAACTGTTTAGAAGAGAATAATTGATGTTCTCCTAAATCGAATGTAGGAGATGAAATATATTGTTTAACAATCTATTATGAATATTTAATCATCAGGTTTTACTAATTGATTATCCAAAATATAAAGCTGCAAAAATCAAGTTGTAAATAACCATATTGTAAATAAGGAGATTGATCATCGGATGGATTGCAAATAAATATTTTAATAATTTAGTTATAATCTAGTTTAAAGATAATGTTTTTAATTTTTAAATATATTAATTATCATTAAATTTGGTATTTGGATATATATTATATGATTATGAAAGTTTCTAATGATATAGACGAAATTCTCCATATTATATTTAAATATACAATGTACTCATGAAAAGAATTGTACTATAAAAATTGAGATATAACATCGTAGTCTACTGAGTAATGCAACATGGTTAAAATAGCCTACCAAACTATAAAATCGTTAAAGATGACTGATCAAAATATTCGTTTTAACGATCTTTTAACAACTCAATGTAATGACTGGGCCAAAGAGGAGTTTGACATGTACGATTGTCTCCTTGTGTAAGAACTTTAATAAGACATAAACTAAATATTTTTTGTCCTGTATATGATAAATTCTATAATCGATTTGCTAGTATAATGCAACAAAAAGCGTATCATCAAAATATAAATCTAATTTATCGACGCACATTAAAAATTAGATAAAACTCCTGCTTATAAAAAAAAATATAATGCAACAAAAATACAAAAAAGGGATAGAAGGAAGTGACTAGGTAGGTGTTAAAAAAGAGTTGCCGCGCTTTCCTACTGACATAAACATATTAACAACACAAGACGTTTATCATCATCAAACTACAAATTTTTGGTACGCTCCGAAATGTGCCAAACATTCTGCCCATCCAACACATGCATCCATCTCTTATGTTTCTTACTTTCTAACATACTTCTCACATGCATTAATTATAGCTCAAACTAAAAAGAGACCAAGTATGAATTACGGGTGTTTCTCGAAGACCTTTTGTCTTTATTATAGCTAAAAATTAAAGATTAACTACGGGTGTTTCTTAATTTATGTTTTGTTCTCATTCATCCTTTCAAGATTTACGTCTTTTCGTCTTTCAAAAGCACTTCTCATAGATGCTCCAAGAGGGAAAGATGAACTTTACAAACACTTCTTTCTTGGTTTATTATACTTGGAGGGTAAATTATGGGGTGTTTATGATTGGTGAAAAGTGAAAAGACTGTCCTTATGATTCACACTCATGCATGCCTGTTACTTAAAGATTCTCGTCTTTTTATCTTTTAAACACACTTGTCACATGCAAGAGGATAGAAAAAGACAGGTATGATGCATCAGGGCTTGTTAGTTAACATACTTTGGAATAAAAATTATGGGTACTTTTTATATTTTGTGAAAAGATTGTTCTAAATTTTGATTGACAATCATATAAGAGTTTCTTCAAGATTTGCCCTTTTTAATTATTTCAGTGACACATGTCACTTGCAATAGGAAAGAAAAAGACATGTTTGATGCATCAAATATACTTGTAATTGTTATGCGTTAGAATATAAATTGCGAGTTCTTTTCATTTTTTTGAAAAGACTGTTCTTTTGTTTCATTTTTTTGATTCATACTTATGCTAGGTGCCATCTTTTCAAATTAACACCTGTCACATACAAATTGCATCGAAAAGGATGTTTCAAAACTTGTTTGTTTTACAATGATTAAGAAGTGAAAATATCAGTTTTGCATTTTAATTACGAAAAAGATTATTCCCGTGATTCACATCCATAAGATACAAGGTGCTTCAAGTTTGCCTTTTATTCCCCTAAATATGGATTCAATTCATAGATGCAATGCAAGAAAGACCGACGGCTCTTATGCATCAAATTAACTTGTCGATTTTAAAATGTGTAATTAATGGAATCCAACACGCGTTTGTAGTCTAAAAAATTAAGATGGAACTACCATTTGAAAATGAACACGACAATATTGCATTAATACCTATAATACATGCAAAATTACAAATACTTCAAATGAGAAACCTAAGAAATTAAAGACATAATTAATTCAAGGTTTTATTGGTTTATTCAAACTCTAATTACCCTTCCTTTCACTCTTTATTATTGAAGTTACGTACACACACACACACACATATATATATATATATATATATATTATATATATATATATATATATATATATATATATATATATATATATATATATATATATATATATATATATATGAGACATCTTATACGATAAATATCATTTAAGATACCTCAAATGCATTACACATATATATGTATTATTGTATGTGTAATTATCTTCTACGGGCGGCATTTTCTCTTTGAGCATTGAAATATACGGCAGCAACTGGTAACCCTAACCCATGTTCTTGACAGAAGGTACGAGTGTTGAAATGGTCTCTAGAAGCTGGTGGGGTCACCGACTTCCTTGCTTTCTGCTTGAACAGTAAGAACACAAATCGGTGAATCCCTATCACTGGCTTTGGTGTCTCATAGCTCACAATCTCCCTTCCTGTAGTGTAAAGTGTAAACATTTCAATTAATAGTTGGAATAAATCAAAGAATAATCATATCCGTGTATGTGATAGAGCTGTTCGTACCGAAGGAAGCATCAGTGGTACCAGGAATGTCCGTGACTATCCTGAAACATAGAATTCGGCCCAGAATTTGTTTATACATCAGTAACATTATATGGTACATAAATAATATAATAATCATATAAGACAATTGCGAACACAGAAAACAAAATAATTTTACCAGTGAAGATGTTCTCTTAGGTAAGGATCACTTGGGCCTGGAACATCTGGATCGGTCATGATCTTCAAGTCAAGATAACACAAAGTTAACACAGTTTGTTTATTAAAACATGTATGTATGTATGTATGTATGTATGTATGTATGTATGTATGTATGTATAAAGAGAGAAGTGATCTAAAGTTACAAGAGTATAAGCAGATCGCATGTCTTCACCACCGATATTCACACGAGGATTAGAAGTAATGAGATTAGGCATGAGCTCATGGCCATTAGAGACTGTCTTATTAAGATTGTAGGTTACACTCATCTTCACACTTGGTGTGAATGTGTCCACCACCTCTCCTATCACTCTTCCAACTACAAGTGGTTCAATCATTCTCGACATGAGAGAGAGAGAGAGAGAGAGAGAGAGAGAGAGAGAGAGAGAGATCTTTGTTGGGAGGGGGGGGGGGGGGGAAGTAGTTCTGTAAGCACTAGCTAATTGAAACTGTATGAGTTGTATTTGATGCTTAACAGCCTTTTTATAGAGAAAGAGAGATAGAAAGACACAAATATGGAGGACTTAAAAAGATTAGAAGAGATTCAGCAGCATAAAGGTTTACCAGAAATGGAAAATTTTCTATAAGTACTTGTAAAGAGATCCTATTCAAAGTTCTTTGATCAAACACTTTTTTCTATATTAGGAAGTTATTCATGTCTAAAGCTTATTGGTTACTCAAGAATACATAGCAAATCAAGAATAAAGGTTGCTTTTTCCCCCTTTTCCCACTTACCTCTTTACAATATTAATCCATGTTGCAGGAGAATGAGAATTCTTGTATTCTAAGTCTAAAAATGAAAAAAGAAGACCTTCCCATGAGGCTTGAAGATCAGTGTACGTACGAATAATTAATGGATTCAAACTTTCCGCTTATGCTTAACATTAAAAGAAACCTATTGATCATTCTGGGCATGAATTTTTGGTTTTCTAGCTCGAGAATGTTCTTAATGTTTCCCATCCATCATTAGTGCCAATCTCTGTTTACCTGGAGGCTACTTTTAATTAAACTTAATAAAATGAAAATTGGAAGCCCAAAAGGATTGGGCATAATTTTAATATGGTGTATTGTTAACAAAACAAAGTAGTAATTAATGACAAGTAACTCAATTTAAGCATATTATAAAACCAAAGTACCAGATACAAAGTACCTGAAACAAGAATCTATTGATCATGTCCGTTCATATATGTGAGAGAGACCTAATAATGCCAACAATATTGTAGCTTATAATACCTTCAAAATTAGGGGTGTTTGTTTGAATGAATATGTTCAATTCAACCCAGTTAAGTGAATGCAATTTGAATTTAGTTTTCTAAATAAGAAAATTAAAATCCAATCCAATCCAATCCAAATCAAACAAATTTAATTTGTTTGTGTCGTTTTTTTACAATTAAGTGTTTAAGAATGTCAGACATTGCAAACAATTATAAAACTTTAACGTTATGAAGCTTGAGTTGTCAAGACAAACTATTTGATCTCTTACCATCTAATCAACTTGATATATTAATATAGGCTTTTTATTTGGTCCATGTCTTCTATTTAATTTAAAAAGAACTTTAATAAACAAATAAATATATAATTAAAGATGTATATTAAAAATAAATAACATATATGAATAAATTAGAGTTTGTTTGTTTTTTTTTTCGTTTGTTTGGCTATTCGGTTTTCATTTCAGTAACCAAAATCAATTTAAAATCTAAAATGATAGTTCTATTTTAGTCCAAATCAATCAAAATATCCAAAATGATAGTTGAAGAATTTGATTTTATCAAAATACTAAACAACTCTACTCATAATAGTTGGTTCAATAACAATCTAGAGACCATCATATTTGCAAATTTATTGGAAAAGATGGTGATGCACCATTTTGCACCAAAAATGAAAGTTGCATTCCAGCTCTAATTCATAATCGGGTTATGCGTTTATGTATTCCTACATAATAGTTTTTTTATATTGTTAGTGTATATTTCACCCCTTTCCTTGTTGTAATATTCCTATATATTGTCAATAAAAAGAGATGATCATTTCATAGAAAATCAATACCTTATGATGGTATGAGAGCTAAATTATATATTGATCCTTTATTTTGTAAAATTCTTGTTTTCCTCGTGTATCCAATTTTAGCCATCCCTTTCCTTCTTCTTGTTCTTTATTGTTGTTCTCCCTATGACGATCAGATCAAAACTCAAGAAACCTTACATGATTACTGTTGAATTAAGTTGTCTAAACTCATAATTAAATTGGTATAAAATTGTAATTAGAAGCGAAATCATTTTTGGGTTGCCCTCATAGTTAGAGCTTGGTTAGAATGATATTTGTAGAGAGAAAATAAATTATTAGATTATTATATGATTGATAAACTAATTGGAAGTTATGAGGAAATAATTTGTTAATATATTATATGATTAATATATTAATTGGAAATGGATAACTGGTTTGTTAATTTATTATGTGATTAATAAATTAATATGAGATAAGTTGTTAAATAATTGATTTGTTAACTTAATGATAAATACATTAATATAAATCAATTAGGACTGGTTAATTATTAATCAGAATTCATCTGGAATTAATTCGAGATTAATTGGAATTAATTAAAGGTGCAAGGGGTGAATTGTAATTGTTCATAATTGACTAAGGAAAGGCAATTCTAGATCCTACCATCATATGGACGGTTTTGGGAGCTCTTCTAGGGTTTTCAAAAACCTCTTGGATGCAGATAAGGAAGTGATTAGAATTGAAATTAAATTCATTATTAAATTAATTCAAATATGGCTTTACCTGCAAGTTACTTAAACTATAAATATGACCCTTTGGGAGCCAAATTTCATGCATACTCTTTCTAAGAACTGTGTGAACGAAAATTATATCTTCATCCTCTTTCCTTTCTTGTCTTCTAGTTTTAGGGTTTGGATGTGAGCCATTAGAGGCATCATCCTTTTGGTGCTAAGCTTTCAAAGTCAACAACTACAAGGGATTGAAGTGATTTGATTAATACAACAAATCAAAAGGTATGTAACCCTAATTCTTGTATTTCGATTATACTAGGGTTTCATTAGGCTTCATCTAGATTTGTTATTAATGTATGTTGCCTTCAAAGTGTAAGACATAGATCCTCTTAGGTTGCATGTGTCCTTCATAATTGTTAAGTGTTTTTCTGCATTGTGCATATTATCGTAACCTAATAAAGCCATCAGTGGTATCAGAGCTACTTGGTGTGTCTAACATTGAAAGAACATTAGTTGAATCGAACAAAATGTTTTTTTGTTAAACTTTGATCACGACGTGACAGAGCCTTTGTCACGACGTGAACTCAACTAAAATCCAGAAACTCGGGATTTTCAACCTAATCTGATTTATGTGGTTGTTATTTGGTAATTATCGGTTTTGATTTCTGCCAAATCCGATTTTGCATGCCTAATATGATTAAAATAAAAACCATAAATATTATGAGATAATTCTAAACAAGAGAATGTTTAATTATAAGACTATTAAATTTATCCTTATAGATTTAATAATAAATTTAATTATATATAACATCCCAAAACCAATCAAATTAAATTGTATTCTTCAAACATCAGAGTAAAACATAAATAATCAGTGCGGAAAAGCCATCAGAGGATGTTGTGCAGTCAAGTCGGGCCCTTCCCTTTGAAACTGAAGTACCTGAAAAATGTCAAACCAAAAATTGTAAGCACAAAGCTTCGTGAGTTCCTCAAGATACCACATACAACATATATAACAACACATAGATGCATCGGGTCCGTAACAAACCCGGGTCCGTATCAACCCCGAGTCGATATTGACTCCGATCTCATGTTGACTTTGAGCCCAGATCGGCTCCACCGGATCCGTATCAACCCTGAGTCCATATTGACTCCGAGCGCAGATCGACTGCATGCATACAACATACTAGCACATCAGCAAGAGTCAAAATGACAACATGTAACCTACATACACAATTCAGTGGGACAACATTAGTGCCTTTCCCCACAAGTACAATGAGAAGACTCACCTAACTCATAAAGTCGAGTAAAACTCCGCTCAATGTCATGTAGAGATGCATAAAACCCGAATCCGATCCGATCCGATCCGGTTTCGCTTACGTCATCAAAAATCCGATCCGTTCAAAATCCGATCCGGATCCGGTCAAAATCCGATTCGAATCCGGTCAAAATCCGAATCCAATTCTAATCCGATTTGAAACCGGTTTAAACCGACTTTAGTAGGTTTTAATCGGATTTTGGGACGGATTTGGATCCGGTTTTTAGCGAATCCGGTATCAAATCCGATTTGGAATATAGGATTACGATCCGATTGAAAATCCGGTTTAAAATCCGATCCGATCCGGTTTGGTCAAAACCGGTTTTGACCTAATTCGGTTTCGGATTGGATCCGGTTTTGAATAGTGAAACCGGTTTTTGTGTGCATCTCTAATGTCATGTCGTCCTCATCCAACAGTTTCCCCCGGCTAACAAATGGGTGCTAAACACCTCCTAATAATCCACACAAGGTAAAACCTAGGTCTATCTTCTAAGAATAGAAATTTGACCAAAAGTCAACCCATGCCAAAAGTCAACGGTCAAATTCAAAGTCAACGACCAACATTGACCACCATTGAGTCTCACGTGTGACCACCCTTGGTCACGTCATGAGAGTACACTTGATCCGATTCCAACTCTACTAGCTCCAACTCATCCAAATCGGTCATGGACAACCCACTTAGCAAGTATTACGACATGAACATCCATCGGTCACGTTGTGAGCACAATAAGAAAAAATAGTCACATATTCCTTCTAGGTCACATCGTGATATCCTCTATGTCATGTCGTGACCGCAGTCTGAAGAAACAATCTAATGGTTTGAGTCCTTAATCCATTAAATCACCAACTCCAACTTTTCCAGAAGCTTAAGTTGACTCCAAAGGTCCATAAAAATGACAAAGTTGCCAACTTTATGGATCCCTTCCTTTCAAGCTTGCTCAAACATGAAGAAAAGGGGATAAAATCTATATCTAACAACATTTAAGCAATAAAGGCTGAATCTTGGACACTTACAAAGGTCTCGAATGAGCACAAGATGATGATGATGAGGTTTCCTTGCTAAATTCACAACTAGAACACTTTCTTCGTCTTCTTCTTCAAGCTACCAAAATCACCTAAATGGACCGAGAATCACCAAGAGAGGCTAGGGTTAGGGTTTTTTGAGTTTGAGGAAGAAGGCTGATAATTAACCCTAAAATCAAGTTTATGGGATTTAAATACGAAGGAAACCCTAAAAGATCATGAGCTTGGGTTGTAGGCCTCCTCACGTCATGACCACCTATGTGTCACGTCG